GAAAAAAAAAAGTCATACAAGACCAACATTTTTAGCACTTACACTTTCAGTATTTCAAATCTGGTTCACTTTGAAACAACCATGTGATGAGTCATATTCCTGTTCATCACTGTTGTTATCTTTAGTAGAAGTGGTTGCATTTATGAGTAGTAGTAGTAGTAGCATAAACATAAATCAATAAAAAAAGAAAATAACAGAACCACAAGAATAAAATACACACCTGTTGTTGCTTTATATGTAGATGCCCGTTGTAATGTTATGATCTTGCCTTGGCAGTGGTAATTAAAAAAATAACAATAATAATAACAACAACAACAACAACAACAACAACAACAACAACAACAACAACAACAACAACAACAACAACAACAACAACAACAACAACAACAACAATAATAATAATAATAATAATAACCTCTATGGTAGACTATGGTAGAACCTTCCTTTATCCACCAATAAACCTGTTTTTTTATACCGCACATTTGTGCAGTACATCCCTTAATCCACACATGATAAATGCATAAATCTAAAGTCAACAACGGGGACAGAGAGCGGTTTCACCCAGGGACAGAGGATGAAGGCAAGCAACAGTCACAAGTTATGTGTGGGAAAAAATAAGGGGGTCCACTAACCCTCCCCCCCCCCTCCCCTGAGAGGATCAGCTGAGCACCCTCTGTTTTCTCCCTGTTCCTTGAAGGCAACGTGTTCTGCCTACTTACAACGGTGCAAGAGAAATTATCGAGATAAAAGCAGGGAAACAGTGAACGATGAAGACGAATGGGAAGCAGTTTGCTTATATTTACTCACAGACAGACAGTTTGGTGTTGAAACACTCCAAAACCCCCTCTCTTATTTCTACTTTTATGTTAATTCTCCCTTTTAATCAATTCAAAAATAAACAAAACGGGTAAAAGGGGATCCGGTTTTATCTTCTCACCTTCAGCATTTCAGACAATAAACATCAGTTTTGTGTTTGTTGCTAAATCACACTCCAAGTGTTCGCCTGCTGTTCTTCAGCCACGATGTGATCAAAGGGTTTCTGTCGAAGAATGAACCAGGATTCAACAACGTTTGGATTTCCATTTGCCACCTTTAGTAACATAACTGCCTCCTTATGGATAAAAAAGGAAACAATTAAGATCTAATGGTTTAAAGTATCCCATAAATCTGCAGACAGATACAAAGGCGGATCGGTGTAAATCCATTATCCAGTTTGCTGATGTGATATTTTCTAATTAAACGCAATTTCCATATATAATTTTTCTCCACTCTGTTTTGACTGAAGTTTATTCATGAATTTTAGTGTTAAAACGTTTCCTTTATTTGCTGCATTTTGATTCCACTGTTTAAACATCAAGGTGAATCGATCCTCGCCAATAGAGTCAGTCACATTCGGGGCCAGCGTCGTCTTTGTCTTTGTGCAAATGTGACATTTTAGTCCATCTGTCATAATGTTTTCCATGATGACAAAGTTGGCTACAAAGACAAGTCTAAAGGGCAAATCTGACAAGCTTTTCTGTCGCCCGAGTGAAAACGCTGACACTGTGCAGAGTTTCAGTTCGGGTCCGAGGAGCATCAGCCGTACTTTTGCAGACGTGACCTCTTCTGCTGATAGATTTTATTGAACACCGTCTGTCTTTAATGGCCAAGCGGTAACAAGACATTTGATAGGATCGATTGATGTTGTTGTGTTGGGTGAGGCGGTGGAGAGCGACTTGGAGCAACTGAAACACGGGGATAGAGAGGGAAACTGAATTGTTATTAGCTGATGGAGAGCTTTTAAACAGTCTGTGGTTGGTTATATGAGATTTATTGCTCCGGAAATTGCTTCGACCCAAACGCCGTAGCAGCCGCTGATTCTCTCTCTCGCAAAATTGAATTTGATAGACAACAAGCCGACGTCCTCTGCACCTAGACAGAGATGCTTAAACAGATTTCTGTGGTGTAATGAGTGAAGGACCTGACCTTTTCTCTCTGCGCTTACTTTGGCAACAGCAGAGGGCTGATGCTTGGTGTAAACAAGCTGTTTATAATGTGTTTTCTTTTACACCTCTGAGTTCAGTATTAAATAAATTCCGTGAGGGAGTGTAACGGAAGCAGTGAGGGTTTTATCACAAAAGTCTAAGTGCACAGAATTCATGGTTAGGAAAATTAATGTTTAAAATACAGGGGCTGTACGTGTGAGGTGCTGCCTTGAAGTACTTCAGGAAGGCTTGTTGACCACAGAGAGCTCTGCGTGTATGGATTAGCCCTTGAATGTGCATGACTAAGTGAGTGTGAGATGACAAAGCACTGGGAGAACATTCACCTACTTAAGATAGAAGTCATGAACCAGCGACTGACTTTGACATGTGCTACAGGAATAGCATAAATCCTGCAGCTACTGAATATATTTATGCAAAAGTGGGTGGCATTGTGCAGCTGAAATTAGATCACTTGATAAGATTTCCAGTTAGATTTAGGCCAGCATTTGATTAATGAAAACAAATTACAAATTAGTTACGTTAGAGTTCTGCTTAAAATTT